AAAGCTGGGACTGCTGGGGGATTGGTCATCTTAAATTGCATTGCTTCACCCAGCGTGTATTTTAAGTTATGCCAAGGATGTAAGGGTAAACATCTTTCTTTTTTTTTAGCATTTCAGTACATCTAAATATACCAGTGAGCAGTATTTAGAGGCAAGCTGCTGTGAGCCAGGGAACTGAGATGCAGAGCTGACGCAGTACTCCTGATTCGCAGCTCCCAGTTTTTGTCGGTGTGACACAGCAACACAAGTGAAAGTTTTGTTATTTTACAAGGGGCAGAAGCCAGGAGAATTTCACCCCAGTTCTGACCTCTGGTTTGGCCCGAGACTGAAAGGGGAATCCTGGAGCAACAGAAGGAACCACTATATGTGATAAATCATCTGATTAATTCACATTTATCATCTGATAAATGTGAAGACCTGTAACATGCAGGAGCCCACAGCAGCACAGCGCTGAGAAAGCATCTTCCCTCATGGGACGGCGCCATTGTTTTCCTTTTTTCACACTTAAAAAGCTCAGTTGCAGATATCAAGGCACTACCTTGGGCACCTGGCCCGTGGTTAAACATTGCAAAACCAACACAGCAAACAAAGGGCTCCACAGCTCCCTCCGCTCCCCGACACATCAGCAGCTCCTCTCCCTCCCCAGCCAGCCGAAGGGGGAAGGTGGCCCTGTGGCTCCTAGCCGCTGTGAACTGAAGTGGGACACTGGGGGCTACAGGCTGCTCCATGTATGTGTGGAAAGGGGGAGGCAAGCCCTCCCACCAGCTCATCCAGGATCCCCCACAACTGGGGAACACACCTAGCCGTGCCCAAGCGCAGCCCCAAACCCCAGCCAGGCAGCCCTGGCAGCACCAAATACGACAGCCCAGCCTGGCATGAGGTGGATGTTCAGGATACGAGCTTTCTCTGAAGGTAAAACACCTTTATGACAATAAAAGTGAGGTTTTTGCAGATACAGCTCATCTGTTCCTGAGCTGTTTCTCTCGTAGGTGCTCTGGGCTTTGTCCAGCAAAATAAAGACACGTGGTGCATCACTGCCCTGCCTCTGGTCGGGATGGTGGCTGCATGAAATTTGGAAAAAGCACAGATTCGTTTGTCAGGGGAGATCAATAGTTTATTAACTTAAAGGTCAGTTCCCCAAAGATCCATCTTTCCTTGGGTTTGGTCCAGGCAGGTGAGGACCGGTGACGGTGTGGCTCTCCCCCCTTCACCTGGCTGAGGTAAGCTCCAGCGGGCAAGCCCAGGCAGGGCACGTGTCGTTGCAACCGAAACCAAGCAGGGATTATCCCAGCTCCGAGAGGAACTGGTGACAATTCGTATTGAGAATTTCATTGGCAAAAGGTTTAACTCGTTAAAACTATTAACAATGAAAATCGGAACACGCGGTGTAGGA